AGATCGACTAGATGTGCATCGACACGGAATTCTTCAAGGCAAGATACGTGCATGGGTCTCGGACTCAGCATACCTACCTCAGAGACATGGGATCTAGCAGGCTAATCCATCGGCATCCTGCCTCTGCCTCGCCGGCCCCGACTTTACAAACATTCATGCAGCACAGCACAGTGTGTTCGACCAGCGCAACCCGCACCTCTTTCGCCTATTAGGTCTGCCAATCATCGCACTGGTGGTGAGACATTGAATTCCGTTTACTCGAACAAAGAATCTTATTTTGGTCTATTTGCCAAAAAGAACCAGCCCACAAGTCGTCGCCGGCTTGTCCTGCTCTGAGTGTATAAATTACAACAAGTACAGCGGTCAGCGAAGGACCGTCTCATCCTCCGCTTCCCATGGTATCACCGTAGTCCAAAACTTCCAAGTGTATGTACAAAATATCGCTCATTTCCATCATAGTTTAACTCCTGGTAGTTGGTAAGCCCCACCTAGTAAAGATCCGGCTGTAGGCTTGAAGGTGACTGTGGTATTGGATCCTGGTTGGGCCGGCAGCTTTGCCGTGCTGTGGTAGGTTTGGTTGTTCCATCGAAATCTCCTTCCAGGATCCTTCAACTTTTATTCTTTCTTTTCTTGTTTGAATCGGCGCTGCGTCATAATCATGTATGGGGTTCACTGGGCGTGGCCAAATTGTGGAGGGAAGTGTGATGATCCTGCGAAGTTGCGAGCATCCATCAACGGAATGCTATTGTTCTTCTCCATCGGTTGGAAGGAAGCCATGTCGTTGGAGTAACGGCTGGCGGCCTCGTTGTCCATGTCATTCAGAACCTCCCTGGTAAGCTCAACATAGTCGTATGCAAACTCGCCGATCTCGGCGTCGTCGATACCTAGAATCTCGGCCTCCTCCGTGGCGCGAAGACGAAGGCCAGGGATCATGTTCATGATGAAAAGTATGATGCAAGTGCCAACGAAAGAATAGGCACCGCCAGTGAAGGAGTCAGCGAGTTGGTATCCAAGCTGAATCCAGTTGTGGTTGATCCAGCCGCCGTCGATGGTGGAAACACCGTCCAGGTGCGCAATGTAGTTAGCGGCGAAGAAGGCCGTACAGACGTTGCCGACCAGACCGCCAATGCCATGGACGGCGAAAATATCGAGGGCATCGTCAATCCTCAGAATGAACTTCAGCTTGGTGGCGTAGTTGGCAAAGGCAGCTCCAAGGACGCCGAACGGAACGGCAGCCCACACTGGGACGTATCCTGGACTAAGTCAGTAAAGTGTGGTTCGTTGCAGGTACGCGCTGCGCATCACGTACCAGAACCAGGAGTAATGGAGACCAGGCCAGCAACGACACCAGAGCAGAATCCGACCGTGGACCACTTGCGCTCCAGCCTGTAGTCCAGTACACACCAAGTGATGCCTCCGACGCAAGCTGCGAGATTCGTTACGACAGCAGCAAGGACAGCGCGCAAGTTTGCCGATAGCGCCGATCCAGCGTTGAAACCAAACCAACCAACCCACAGAAAGACGGTGCCAATAACAATGTGAGTGACATTGTGGGGTCGGTAGTTGAGCTCGTGGGTGCCGTGACCGCGGCGCTTGCCCAACATCATGGAGTAGGCCAGAGCGGCTGTGCCAGACGCGATGTGCACGGGTGTTCCTCCGGCAAAGTCGAGACCACCCATCTTGTTAGACCAGCCACTAGGGTTCCACGTCCAGCAGGCGATAGGATCGTAGATAACCGTCGCCCAGATAAACATGAAGATGACGCACGGGAGCATGCGTCCACGCTCGGCAACGGCTCCGGTCGCAAGAGCAACCGTGATGCACGAGAACATTCCCTGGTAAACGGCGAAGAGGAGATCGGGAAGGCGGTCGGAGCCTACGGAAGGTCGGGCGAGAACGTTCCTGAAGCCAAAGTTGGCCAGGTCGCCAATAAAGGCGCCTGCTGTGTGCGAAAAGGTGAGAGAATAACCCCAGAAGAACCATTGGAAGCTGGTGACGGCCGTGGCCATGACGGAGAGCCAGATGAGAGACAGAGCCGACTTTCTTCGGGCCAATCCAGAGTAGAAGAAACTGAACGAGGTGATGTTAATCGCTGCACTGGTTGGTGACTGTCGTTCGGGAGTGATTGAGCTTACCCAACTCCGGGGATCATGAGCAGCACGAGAGCTGTCGCAGTGATCATCCATGCGATATCACCAGTCTTGAAGTCCCCTCATTAGCGGTCCGTCACGTGGGCCTCACAAACGTTGGCCGCAACTTACCTCGTACCAAATGTTGAGATCCTCTGTGAGAGAGTCTCCTCCCGTAGGGCCGGAGCCGTTGTATGGCACCAGGTGCACGTAGTCGAGGTCGTTGAGGTCGACCTGGTCGACCAAGTCTCCGAGGGACGCCATTGTTCTAGGTCGTTCGGTAACGCTCAGAGCCGATTCGGGAAATCGTATGTACTGGGACCGCGGAGACAGTCGGTTACAGACCAGACCACACGGCCAGACGGAAAAATCGACAAAGTGCTGAATCGAGAGGCCTTGTCGACAGGCTCTAAATGAGCGAAGGCTCGGATGAGAGCGCTGTATACCGTCGCGGGGTTTGCAGAAGAGACAGCAATGGGTCAGGCAGCATGACGAAGCGGAACCGAATTCATGTGGATGTGGGAGGCGCGAAGCTTATGAATGTGGATGTCGGGCGTTCAACACGCAGAGTTGCGTTGCGGGCGGCGGAATGAGTAGCCCTGAGAGTGGCGGGCAAGCTAGCGGGACGGACGGTACTTTGAAGTTCGCAGGCCTCGCCCGACGACTCCAGAGGCAGCAAAGACACCGACCGGCGGATCAGAGAGCGAGAGAGAGTCGCAGCATTACTGGGCTGTCCCACGGAGGACGCCTGGGAACTGCCTGGGCCGTTCAGGGCCAAGGCTTGCCGGACTAGGGACTAGGGTGTGGCCAAAGTTTTCTTTCGAGGAGGTTACGGGTGTGGGAGGTCGTCTCTCACACTCTCACACTCTCACTCACTCACCCACCCACACTCTCCCACCTTCATCTTTCATACTCACCAATGCAGGCCTTGCAGGGTTTCCAGCAGGGTTCCATTTCCAGCAGGGCCAATCGGCAGGGGGGAGGCACGGGGGCGGAGGCTTATCGATTGCGACGTGCCTATCCGTAGATCTACTCTAGTGCCTCTGCCGTCAGGGGTTTGGAAGGGGGATTGGATGAGTGGTCCAGGGGACAGACGAAGATGCGATACATACCTAGCCGACGGCTTTTAACCTGCTACAGTATGTGAGGTCTGCCAACACAGCGATGCAGTCGGAGGGAAAAGCAACCTCAGACGACTACCTACGAAAGAAGAAGAAGACGGGTCGCCGTGTTTGGTTAGTGCGTATCTCGTCCAAGACTCCAGACCGAGACTAATCTTGCTGACTTGATCCAACCTGGCATCAGACGGCCTTGTTGGACGACGGCATGCAGAGCTCTTGAGAACAATTTCCATCAGCCCAAGGCCTTCCTTCGTTCGAATGCAGGTCACAATGGATAAAAAGTGCATGTACTTTGTTAATTTGACCACGCCTCCTCCCTGCTGTATTACAAGGGTCCGGATTCCCATTGACTGGCAGAGAATCAATGGGGAAGCACCCGCTGCTGTTATCAAAAGCAAGGGTTCCGGGTGTATAGCGCGGCATAGATAACGGTCAGAGAAGCTACCTACAGCCGATGCCTCATATTCTCAGCTGTCGATTTGTACGTGCCGTTTCTCCTGTTCTCCGAGTAGCCGACACGCCATGTGTATGATGTGGTTATTGCAGTCCCGAATAAAGACGACAATGGCCAGAACATCTCCTTAGTCCCTACGGGCGCAGAGTAGGACAGATCCGGGGAGGCACAGCGACATCTCCTAGAACCCTGAGACGACGCACCAGCGGGCGAAGCGCTGTTTGCAGCCGGATGGACTTCCTTGCCAAGAACACTGCGAGGGCACCGTTTCGCTCGTCTAGCCATGGCGGCAACTGTGAGGAGCGCGACGGCGTCGGCACGAGAGACAGACACATTTCGGGTAGGGCTTCGGTTCGGGATGGGTATTCCCTATTCAGGGACAGACGGAGACGAAAAACAGGCTTTAGGAGATGCATGGAAAGTGAACCGTGTTGTGTATGACCATGTTTCTTGAGACGAAATACGGAAAAGTCGGCCGTCGTCTGGTGTCTGCCTGAAACGGGCGGAATTTGAGCAATCTCATCACTGTCATGATTCGCCCAGTGTCTGAGTCCTTCATCATCTCCGTTCATCTCGTCCGCCTGCCGTATTCGACATGGCACTGAGCAGAGCAGACCAAAGCAGAGAATCAGAAGAGCAGTATCCATAACCACCCCAGCTCTTAGCTTTGCAGCTTCCCATCTGGACATGGAGCCCATAACGCCGGTTTGGGGAAGTGGACAAGGATGACAGGGCAACCTTCCCGCCGCTACCAACCTGATGGGAGACCGAAGGCAGCCTACGACAAAAGAAGGCAGGGGCACCGGCCGAAGTGCCCGAGTAACTGCACTTTGTCATGATAAGCCATCCGCGGCTGATTGGACGATACCGCTCCGGTGAGAACGCGGCAGGTGCCCCGGTGCGTGCCAGTGGGGGCCGGCCAGCTTCCAGTGGCATTCACCTTCGAACCTTCTTTGCTTTTCCTGGACCCCTGCCCATCCACGTCCCATCCATGCAGTGTACCGCGTACTCCGCCCCTGCTTTCAACATCACTTCCTCCAGTGTCTTTCTCCTCCTCCTCCTTCTGCTACGCTGCTGCGAGTCACAATGTCCGTCAGTCTGTCTCTCCTACCTACCCAATCAAGGCGCGCAGGACTTGACTTTAACAGCGCGCTTTCTCGCCGTTGAACCGCGCACGAGACAGACCTCATGCCGTGTGACAACCAAAAGCACATTCTCTCGGCATCAACCGACTTTTCCACGCGGATTAGTCTCCGTACATAAACCAGCCCGCCGGCCAGCGTCTCAATCTCTCTGATGCTACGCCAGAGGTAGGTTTGCTTGAAACAGAAATGCTCCGGCGCCAGCAGCGCCCTGTGTTGATTATCCATCTCACCGAAATCACCAGTGCTTCATCTCGGCCTGCAGGGATATCAACCCGCCCTACCACCTGTCCCACACGGACTCAAGGACCGCCGGCTGCACCAAGCCTCCCGGACTTTTGTCCTGCTCTCCTCCTACTGGCATCAGTGCTGGCCACTCTTTTTCCAGAACAGGCATCTTGAGTGGTTCCTCGTCCTCGTTGTCGTAGGCGCCTGTTGACCCAGCCAACTAGCGTCGCGCTGTGCCTGGCATACGATATGTACTACGTATGGGGGCCGTGGATAGCGCAATATTGGCTACTACTCTTCGCAAGTGCTGCCACAGTCAGCTCGGAGGCCGTGCGCATGTTGGGCTTGACCATCCCCCACGGCCAACTTTGATCTGCCACTGCAGAAGGTTTGATAGAAGACTGGCGTGAGCCATCACTAACATCTGTCGGCAGGGGAGATCGAACGGCCCCCTTGTCAGATCATGGAATTTCTCACACTTTCTCGTCATACAGTCATCTCCAAGGGTGTTTATCTCCCCAGAGTTAAGGGGGCCGAATCCTACCTCCAGGAACCATCTCCGAGCCTGCCGTCACGTCATTCCACCGCGGCCTATGATCCGCGCCAGGAAATGCTCGCGACTCCGCCTTGCCAGGTGCTTGGCCATATCAACACCCCTCTGCTTCCACGCGAGCCAGCCCTTAACCATCTCGTCAGCTACGATATAAGTTACGGGGACACACGAAGTGTATGCGTGTCTGGTCGTCGACGACTGTCCCTCATAAACTGGTTGTAATCTGAAGATGGTTTTACTGAGAGAAGCGCTAGATGGCCGCATCTACAAGCACCAAAATTTGAGAATTCCTGAAGATACGCCAAATAACCAGCCACTTCTCGAGATGGCATTACTATTATCGGTTTACATGCAGCTCGTCACTGCCACCGTTGTGCGGGTACGGCCAGAACGTTAGATTGGGACACGAGAGCCACAAAGTCTTGAATACTTCCTCAAACAGAAGGCGGGTAGACCCCAGTCATGCCGCCCCTGAATCTCAGAGCAAGTCTTGGAAATGGTTGGAAATGGTTGGAAATGGGTAAACCTCCATCATCGACAGCAGTGTTGGATCTGGGCTTCGGCAGCTACCTTGCCTGCTCGATGAGCCGCTGCTGAACGGCACCTCGGTGTCGGCTAGGCCCGATGGAGTCTTGCAGACTTCCATCAGTCTGGCCCTTGCAGCTAGCTCGAACGCGCGCGTTGTTTACCCCCAGCAAATGCTTCGCAGGCAGTGTCGAATCTAGCCTTGTCCCGCCGACGAAGCTTGGTGGCCAACCTCGGACGGCGAGCGTGTTATCTCGGTGCTTACGATACTACTAACAAGGGGTTCTGTTGAAACGTTCTCGTCCATGTCGCCTGCATCAACCGCATTTCACGCGGAAGCGCGGGAGAAAGCCGCGTAATTGATACAGGTGAGAGCTAGCAGGATTTCGTAGACGATAGAACATTCCGGCCCTGAATCTAAGCTTCTTCTCTACTCTGTACTGTGGTTTGTGACATGGTTCATTTTATCCCTTTATGGCTACCCGTTTGCCAAAAGTATGACTGGCGAGTAACGAAGTCAAGTTGCAGCTACGCAAGCATTAATCGAGCTGAGCCATAATGCCAGAAGATATGTATCATTCTCTCCACCAACTGTACCATATCAGTTTGGGTAGGAGACCCTTACCTTCTCCTACATATTTGTGCACATGTATTGGGGCGCATTGGAGAAAACCCCACCATTGCGGAAGGGTGAAGCGTCCGGCTTGAAATAATGGGTTATACATTCTGTTGCTCAACTCCATCTCTAACGAGGCTAGCAAAAGTTGCTGATCATCGCGATGTCAGTTTTGCGCGGTGATGTTCGCATTATTTGCCCGTGGTCGGCTGTGTTCAGCATTGACAAGCGGTCCTCTGGCGCAGTGTCTTCCGTAGGCAGATGGAACGATGTATGACGGTCATGACGAAAATCACCTCTCGTGAGCCCGACAAGTAAAGAATCTATCTAGTACATTGAGTAAACCTAGGCTACCCCTCGCTGACTGTATTATCTCTTAGACACTCCGGCTCCCAATGACTGCAATCAGACACCTGCCGACAGAGAGCCTGCCAAACAGGCAGAACCAACCGCATTGACAACCCTTCCTCCAACTTAGCTAATCAAAGCCCCTCGCGGGAGCAATGCCCAGTGTCCACCACAAGAGCACTTCCGCTGCTGCGCCAGGACGAACGTGAAGCCGGGTCTCGAGCCAGAGGCATCTTCCATAATAGCAGCGCACCGTACACAACGCCTCCACTGCGGCGTCTTCGCCTCCTCGAGCTCCTTGGCGCCTCTGACCGGCGGATCGACCAGCTCGACGCGCTTGAACGCGTCGATGTACTGGCCCCGCGCCCTCCTGGCTGACAAAGAGCGGCGGTCGTCGTCAATCTCGAGGAGGTCAAAGTCTGCAAAGAAGAGCTTGGACGGGTCGGTCTGTGCGCGGTAGTTCTTGAGGTCTGTGTTGAAAAACTTGAGAAGGACTTGGAGGAACGATGGGGGTGGAGAGGAGGCTAGAAGCATGTTGAGCTCGCAGTGGAACTGGGCGCCCTTGATCTGTTGCTCGATGGCTTTTGGGTTCCCCTGAGCGCCGGCGGGGTTCTTGTTCGCTAATGCCGCGAGAGACGTCTGATAGGCCGAGCGGATATCGTTATTGAGCACGGTGAGGAGGCGGTCGAACTCTTGTACTTTTATGAGGCTACTTGATGTAACGCGCTGCATCTTTTGGTATGCCTTGTAAAGGACCGTGTGGAGGTTCTTGGATGTCGCGGCGTTGGGGTCGTTGGCGTTTGAAATCGCAGCTCGACGCTCGTAGAACTCGATGGCTCTGTTGGAGAGGATCTCGAGGTGAAGTATGCGGCGGCAAACGGCAGAGAGGAAGCCACGGGTAGAAGAGCAGAGGAGGAGATGGAGCGAAACGTCAGAGCGGGACTGTAGGTAGGCGCTCATCTCTGAGAATCGCTGCGGGGTGAGGAGAGCGAGGAACTGCGGATCGTCCAGAAGGGCGAAAAGAGAATCAGTGAGCCACGAGAGCAGGTCGAGAGACCACTTCGCGCATCCCGAGAGGGCATCAACGACTTCGTGCTCGTCCAAGGGGCTAAGCTTCTCGCGGATGTTGACCGGTGTGTTACTGGCGATTGTGATGAGGATGACGACATTGCGCGCATTGAGAGCTAGCATCGCAAATTTGCTGCCAAAGGAGCGTGGCTGGAACATTCCCTTGTATCCCAAGTGATTGAGAATACTCAGACACATTTGAAGTGAGCTGTTCCGGACGAGACTATCGTGATGGGTGTCTTCAGAGTAATCCACGGGAATCTTGAGCATGCGAACAATCTCGTTCATCCAGTCGAAGGTGAAGCCTGTCCAAGTCAGATGGCTCAGCAGGAGAAAGGAGAAAAAGCCCACGCACGCTTCTTGTCTGCATATGGTCTTGCAACGGCTAGGATATCGTCGTAGTTGATACTGTTGAAAGTCGCTGTTGACGCAGCTACTGTCAGGCCCGCCAGCACTGCGGAGTATTGGGCTGTCATACATCAGTCAGCGCTACAATGACAATATCAATGGCTAGATATCATTACCCTCTTGGTTGGAGTTTCCGATATCCCCCAATGGATAGTGCAATCTTGTCCATTTCACTTTCCCGTCGTCCTGTATCTTGACCAGGGAACAGTTGGTTGGGGACAGGGCTGCTTGTAGACCTGTAGGGTTGTGTAAGCCGAGGTTGCAAATAGGAAACAGATTCTGGGCTCACAAGGGGAATCATCCTGAAAAGTGAAGCCGACTTGGTTGAGAGACATGATGCGCTCCAGGTTCATTTCGTTGTAGATTTCCTGTAATGTGAAGCGGTCGCGGTACTCCACAGAGCCGTCACTAAACGCCAGACAGACGACTCTGCCGTATTGTAGACTATGGACACCGATGATTGCTTTGTTAATTACCACGGGGTCGTATTTCTTGAGGCGAGATGTGGGCTTGGGCTGTGCCAGGATTTAGCATTAGTCACTTTTCGTGTATGGCTCTATGCTTACTGTGGGCGCTGAGCCCGTGCTATTTCTCCGGTTTCCCAGCTGCTCAAAGGCAGGATGCAGACTTTGGGGTTGGTCGTTGATGACCTCCCATTTGTCAATGATGCTCTGTGTTTCTTGGTACGGGGTATTCGGGGTTGGCAGGTAAGTGCGGACAGCGAGGATGACAAGAGGAGCCCATCCCTGGCCAGTCAAATCCATAGTCGATGGCAAGATCTCCAGGTGTGTTAACTGTGTCATGGCGGAGTCAATCGGCGACGTACTTGATCCGCCAGGCAACCAGCTGGAGATGGCGACGTGCTTTTCTTGCATTGTCGGGTTCAGCGGCTGGCTCCCTGGGGGTGGCTTGTTGTCTGATTGTGACTGCGGTAGACCCCAGTGTATGCCCACCCTCACAACTTTCAGTTGCTTGGATGCAGTAGCCAGAACCACCCACAATGAGCCTGCATAAAACGTTAACGACTGCGGTGGTTATGATGCCGAGTTACTCACTCTTGTCGCTGTGAAGGGCGGCATGTGTGATCAAGTCGTCAGATGAGTTGATGCTCTCGAGCTCCAAGGTTGTCTCTTCAATCTTGTTGTTGTTCTGGGCCCAGAACATCTTCAAATTACCGTTTGCTGTGACGCACAGCAAAGCACTCTTTGACTGATTGGGGTGCCAAGGGCCATACGCATGGACGAAAGAGCTCTCGTATCGATACTGATTTCCATCCTTGACGGCTGGTCCATGACACACGTAGTACTGAGCATGAGCAGGACGTTAGCGGGGGAAAAGATGATGCTTCGAACTACTAACCTGCTTGCTTTGAGGGGCCAAGGCAAGCCAGTAACAACCAACGACAGCGTGAAGGTCGTCGCATGGCTCGTGGTCCCATTTCCGAGTGGCAAAGGGTCGGTTTAGGTTGATGGAGTAGGTCAGTATTGAAACCCGCCCTGTTGCGTCGATGACAGCCAGCTCGGGGCTCGCGGTCGACGCCCAAGCAAGATGAACAATAGGGCTCGATGGATTCGTGCTGACGAGTTCAACCTTTGTAGGCTCGCTGAGGCCCCATTCGCCATTGTCGGGGTGAGAACGCAGAAACCTGGTTTCCAG